TGTACATAAATATATGAGTGCCACTGAGTTGAGTATGACTCATAGCAACCTCATGACCAACAGAACTGAACCCTGTCCTATCCTGTGGCATCCTATTTTTCACACTTCAGCCCATTGCTGTAGTCACTGTTCAATCCATCTCACTGAGGATCTTCCTCTCTTTCTTTGTTCAAGAAATAGCTTCTTCCAGCATGCTGAAAGTATGTAAGATGAAGCTTTGTCATCTTTGCCTCCAAGGAACATTCCGGCTGTACGTTCTCCAAGATAGATGTTTGTTCTTTTGGCGGTCCAAGGGATGTTCAGTGCTCTTCTCCAATATCACAGCTCAAAGGCATCAATTCTTTTTCTCTAATCCTTATTTATTGTCCAGTCTCACATGCATAGCAAGTGACTAAATGAACATGGCCTAAATCAGGTACATCTTGGTCTTCAAACTGACCTCATTGTTCCTCAGTAATTTGGAGAGGTTCCTAACTGCAGATTTTCCCAGTGCAATACATCCCCTGATCTCCTGACTACTGGTAAAAAGGGTGTTGATTGTGGATCCAAGTAAGATGAAGTTGTTGACAACTTTAATCTTTTCTTCATCATAATGTTGCTATTGATCCAGTGGTGAGAATTTGTGTTTTCTAGACATTGAGATGTAATTCATATTTAAGTCTCTTATCTTCTGCAGCAAGCACTTTAAATCCTCCTTACTTTCAGCAACTTTGTGTCATTTGCATAGTACAAGTTGTTGATGAGTCTTCCTCTATTCTTGATTCCACATTTTTCTTTATTAGAGTCTAGCTTTTTGAATTATTTACTCAACATATAAATTGAATAGGTATAGAGAAAGGAGACAACCCGGATGCACACCTTTCTTAATTTTAAACCATATGGTATTTCTTTGCTCTGTTTGAACAGCCTCTTGGTCTAGGAATAAATTTGGAGATTTTATATATGTGTGTGTGTATGTAATATATGTGTGTGTGTGTGAGTGTATATATATATAGTAATTAACCTCTACAAACTTTAGTTACCCTATCTTTTTAAATTCAGAAATGTTTCCTGATTCAACTGAATAGTATCACTGGTTTAAATTTTGTATTTCCATCTTAAATTTCAATTGAAGAAAGGATTCTGAAATAAAATACTTTGTAGAGCTGTTGTACCAAATGACCTCTCTCCCAGACACCTGCCTCCCAGGAAAAGGGGGCCCAGCACTTTCACTTGCCCAATAAGACTCCACGTAGAACCTTCCTTCTCACTCTATTGCTTCTTGTGCAATTCCCAACTCTTTCTTACCTCTCCCATGCCTTTCCACTGCCTGATGCTAACCCTGCACTTCCCAACACCTCACTCATTCAGTCAGTGAACGGATAAGTAACACCTGCTGTGTGCTATTTTGCTTGGATCCAAAACCAATACCCATGAAAGCAACTATCAAGCACTGAAAAGACACATTGCTTTGGGCCAATATGCTGTCCCAGGATATCATCAAAATGATGAAGAGCAAGGAGAGCAGTTTAAAAATGAAGATGTACCTGACTCTTCCAGCCACATCTTTTCACTTGTTCTAGGCTTGTGAAAGTAATGGAAAGACTATAGAGGACTTTACAGATTTAAATTGTGGTGTTGGCAATGAATATTGACTATACTATGGACTGCCAAAAGAGCAATCAAATCTCTCATGGGACAACTGCAGTAAAGGAGCCAGAGTGCTTCTGAGAGGCAGGAGGGCCCAGTCCTTGCAATGAGATACCACACTTGGAAAGGTAGAGAGGTTGATAAGGAAAAGAAAACCCTCATCAAGATGAATTGACAGAGTGACATCATCAGTGGGCACAATACAGATTATGAGCATGGCACAGGATAGGGCAAGGTTTCAATCTCTTTGTTGTACACAGAGTTTCTACAAGTTAGAGCCTACTGAAAGGCACCTAATAGCAACAATAACTATGTGTTAGACATTGCTATAAGAGTCTGATACATATTAATAAAAAAGGCAAAGATCTGTGTAGCATTTTAATCCAGTAGATGACAATAGAAAAAAATCAATACCCTTAAGAAAATAGGTTAATCAAAAAGAATGTTCTTTTCTAGTGTCCTTCTGGTGGCCTAGTCTAGTGGGAGTTGCTCAAAGCTTCTCTGACAACTCAAATCCACCAGTCTCTCCACAGGAGAAAAATGGGCAATTTCCTCCCATATAATTTATGGCTTCTCAAAAACTTACTGGAGGGTCAGGTAAGAGTAAGTTTCAACTTGGCTGGTAATAAGTAGTTTCTATTGTAATTATGTTAGGTTAGTGACTGGTGCTGGCACATGACGCATGAGAGAAAGTAGAAGGCAAAAGTCAGTATATCTCCTGCATCTTACCTTTTCTTCCTATGGTGACTTTTGAGGTCACTAGGTGGCTCTGGTACCCTACAGGTAAGGAATTGCACTGACAACCCAAAGACAAGTGGTTTGAATCCACCTTGTTCTGTAGAAAAAAAATCAGGCAAGCTCCTCTCTTTGATTTACAAACATGCAAATTACAGCTGCAGAAAACCCACTGGAGGGTCAGTTATGTTCTGACCTAATGGCACACAACAACAAAACCAATAATCTATATTCCATAAGCTACAAAATAGAGAAGATAATCTAGCCATCATCAGACTATGGCATGAGCACTAATAAACCTTTGTTGTTGTTAAGTGCCATTGAGTTGTAGGTGACTCATAGTGACCCTATTAATGAAAGTCCTCGACACTTGTGTGACTTTCATCCTTTCTCCAGGTTCATGGGGTTTCTAGAGGCAAGCTATTTACGGAAGTGGATGCCACTCCTGCTTCCAAGCTTGTTTTAATAAACTTTTATTGTATTTCATTTCAGCCACTAACATCTCAGAGTTGTTTGTAATTGTGTCATGTCATTGCTGTTATTGTCACTGTTGTTGTTAAGTGAAGGTTTTCAGAGGCTAGAAATTGCACAGGAGGAAATTATCCATCTTTCTCCCAAAAAGCTGCTAATGGATTTGAACTGCTTGTCATTGGGTTGGCAGCACAACGCTTTAAACCGCTAGACCACCAGAGCTTCCAAATGTATCAGAGTCTAAGCAACTGTGCCAGTGTCTATAGAAGGGAACTTACTAATTGTAACAATCAATTTTCTGCTTGTTGCTGGTATAAAGAAAGGTAAAAGTTATTAAATTCTCCCTCTTCATGAAGTGATAGAAGTATAAAGATATACTTCTGCAGGAAAGAAATTAATGATGGTCAATTATATTTCAGTTGCCCTTTGAGGACGTCATAAACATTCCAGGATATATTTTAAGAGAGGGTTTTTGTTCATGAACATAAGTTCCTTTTCTTGGGTTCACATAACAGTGAAATTTCATTGAAAAAAGTTATTACCAAAAAAAATGGAATTTGCTTTAATCTAATGAAAATATTTCTTAAGCCATTCAAAGTTTCCTGGCTATTCCTCTAACTTAATCCTCAATATATAAAAACATAATTTTTGTTAACATATAAGAGCATTCATTCAAGACCAATTAACATACTAACAGAATCCAGAGGGATTACAAATTTAAACCCAAAGCTGTATACCTGAGAAACTTTAAAATGTAACTTTGTCTTGCCTTAAATCATGGAATCATAGTAAGATCCTTGTCCCCATTATCCTTAAGTGGACCTCAAAGAAAACATTATAGTACATAATCTCAAACTCCTAAAAATTCATTAATAAGGAAAACAAATCTGTATGGATATTCTTGATTCTCAGTGCCAGACTCAAAAGTGGCTAAAACTTTAATCCACTGAAGATTGAAGTAAGGCCTCAAAGACTGTCCTCAGAGGCTGCCTGGCCTTGAAACCCTACTATTCGAGGCTCTTTCCTTACATTCTTCAAAAGATGTTGCTTCTCTATGATTTCTCTATTGTAAAATGTAAATATCCCTGGAATGAAAATATCTAGAAGTTATTCCACGAATGCTCAAGGAAAAATAAAATTAAGAGGAAAGAGTAAGACAGCTGAAAAAGAAGAGGCAAGAAAGACCAGGCTGAGCCACAGAGGACTAGGTTGAATGGCATGAAGATGAGGAGCACAAAGCCAGGCTCTGAAATAAAGAATAAACTGACCAGATAAGTCCAAATATTGTTCCTATACATCTACTATCAACAAGATGTGTGTCAGGCACTGTGCAAGATGCAGGGATATAGGAGACAGAATTACTTTCTTCATTAAATTCCCAATCCAGTGTCTGGCCTCCATTATGGATCTAGAGACTAGATGGTAAAAATTGATGCTAGAAAGAAAAGAGAGATCTGGTGGCTTAGCAGTAAGGAGCTGTACTGACAACTCAAAGGCAAGTGGTTCAAATCCACCAACTGCTCCTGGAGAAAAGAATGAACAATCTCCTCCTTTGCTATGCACAGCCTCTGAAAGCCTGCTGGAGGGTCAGAGAAGAGCCCCTTTCAACTCAACAGCACAAACAACAATGACAGAAACAAAAGTTTGGCCTTGTATGACAACAAATAAGAGATGCACAGCAAAGTGGACCAGGGGATATGGGGGAGGGAGGAAATTATGCAACAATGCATATTTATCTTTTTTAAAAAGTGAACTGCTGAGGGAGAGTAGAGAGAAAAAAGTACAATGAATGGATGAAAATACAACTTTTCTGTAAACTTTCATTAAATTACAATAACCATTTTTTTTAAAGTGTGGCCTGTACTCATTAGCAAGTCCTCACAGACTTACAAGGAGGTAAAGATCAGGCAATTGAAAGGCATTGTGGGACTAGAGAGGGAAATCTAGAGAAGAGAAAACAAAAGTGAAATGAACAATGAACTGATAAACATTGTGAAATGTCTTTACTCTTTAGCGTGAGAAGAGATTACAGGCTGTGCTGCCTGAAGAATTTCATGTCCTTCCCCCAAGTAAAAAGAAACCTAAATTGGACCTCAGATCATTCTTTTCTCTCATTGTTTTTTGGTTTTGAGATTCTTGTTTGTTTGTCTTTTTTAACCACTTACCATCAAACTTTGCAAGCTTGCTAATTTCTGCTCCAAGTTCTGAAGTAACCGATAAGGCATGGCGCACTTTTAGGTTTGTTTCCCTGTGAAATTAATTAACATAACATGAATTTTTATATGGAACAGCTCAACAGTATTTTCCATACACAAAGCCAGCAGGTGGGTGCAGCACTTGCAAAACCCAACCCAAGAGATCAAGAAACTCTCTTTTAATGTCATTCACACTTTTCACCCTCTCAGGAAAGTAGGCAGGGCTTCCCCAGCTCCTAAAAGCTGGCATTCCACCCACACCACATCTGTATAACAACACAGTAATCTGTTTTGCTAGTTGAAAGAAGAGAGGAACATAATAAATATGGTTTCATTCTAACCTACTCAGACATCATGCATGAGTTACAAACACATTAGGAATGGGAATGCAGTTGCCAAATAAAGAAGGCCAGTATCACTCCAGCATCTTCTATTTGCATAGAACTTTTCACAGTAACTGAAATGGAAAGGGGGGGGGGAGAATAATGCTTTCTTTTTCTCAGAGAAACAAGCCAAGAATCCCAAAAGTCGAGTACTATAGAACCAGAGATTCAGCAGGTCCTGCATAGCAAGCTGATCACCTCCTGCTAGGCAGGAAGAGCACACGTCCAGGGCAGCATCTGTTAAATGAAATATGTCAATTGGTATACCATCTATTCCTGGAGCCTTATTTTTTGCCATGTCCTTCAAAGCAGCCTGAACTTCTTCTTTCATCACCATAGGCTCTTGTTCATATGCTGTTTCATGAAATTCTTCTGTGTCTTCCAATTCTTTTCGATACAGTGACTCAGTATATTCCTTCCATCGTCTTTTAATACTTCCGGGATCATTTAACGTTCTGCCAAAAGCATCCTTGATTATAGCAACTTGAGGTTGGAATTTGTTCTTCAGTTCCTTGAGCTTAAGATATGCTGAGCGAGTTTGGCCCTTTTGATTTTCCGACTCCAACTCCTTGCACATTTCATTGTAATATTTTGCTTTGTCATCCCGTGCTGCCTTTTGAAATCTTCTATTCAACTCTTTAGTATCTTGAATTCTTCCCTGTGCTTTGGCCTCTCTGTGCTCCAGTGCAATTTTCAGAGTCTCTTCTGACATCCATTTTGGTCTTTTCTTCCTCTTCTGTCTTTGCAATGACCGTTTGCACTCTTCCTGGATGATACCCTTGATATCCTCCCACAACTCATCTGGCCTTCGTTCATTAGTGTTCAAAGCCTCAAATATGTTCCTGAGATGGTTATGCGGATGACACAACCCTGCTTGCTGAAACTGAGGAGGACCTGAAGCGCCTGCTGCAGAGTGTCAAGGACTGCAGCCTACAATATGGATTGAGGCTCAATGTCAAGAAGACAAAGATTCTCACCACTGAACCAATTGGCAGCATCAGGATGGATGGTGAAGAGATTGAGATTGTACACAGCTTTAGTTTGCTTGACTCTATAGTCAACAGTCTTGGCACCAGCAGCCAGGAAATTAAAAGGCGCATTGCCATGGGAAAGTCTGCTGTTAGGGACCTCTCCAAGGTGCTGAAGAGCAGTGGTGTCTCTCTGGAGACTAAGGTGCGTCTGATACAGGCCATGGTCTTCGCAATCACCTGTTATGCATCAGAGAGTTGGACAATGACCAAGGAGGATAGAAGGAGAACTGATGCCTTTGAGCTGTGGTGCTGGAGAAGAGTATTGAGAATACCATGGACTGCTAGGAAAACAAATAGATTTGTCCTGGAGAGGGTTAAACCGGGTGGCTCCTTGGAGGCAAGGATTCTTAGGCTCTGTCTAACTTACTTTGGACATGTAGTGAGGAGAGACCGGTCCTTAGAGAGGGACATCATGCTTGGGAGGGTGGAGGGATGGCGCAGGAGAGGAAGGCCCTCTATGAGGTGGATTGATTCAGTGACTGGGATAATTGGGATGGGAGTGTCAGAGACAGTGCGATTGGCACAGGACAGAGTGGAGTTTAGGGCTGTTGTACATAGGGTCGCTATGAGTCGCAGGTGATTCGACGGCACATAACAACAACAACAACAGGCAGGAAGACACCTACACTGGACAGATAGCTTCTCTGGAAGCCGTGAAATGGCCAATAGTAAAGATTCTATGATCATCGCATAAGTCTTCCATTGAAGGGGTTGCTATTACAAGTTTTCTCACTGAGTTCAACCTACTTCTCTTCTATTGTACCTTAAGATCATCTATCAGAGTTCTGTATTTTATGCAGATATTTAAATATGGGTTCATTTAGTCAACATATGTCTACTGAATACATCCTACAGTCACTCCATAATGCCCAGTGCTACCCAAGAATATTACTGTCCTCTTGAGGAAAATAACTGATAGGTGAAAAACTAAGCATCACCATACAGAATCGCATGTCAAACCATGAAATAATGGAGTTTTAAGGAACTGAGAATAGGTTCCTTAGAGGAAATTCAATCTACATTTCATAGATGGGTTTCACAGTGATGTTAGAAAATTATGATCTCAACTCAAGGAATAGCCATTGGAGAAATAGCTTTCTTCAGGAAAAAAATAAATTGGATGCAAAATTGAAGTTTATTCATTGAAAAACAAGGAACTCATGCGATATTATTCAAAATGGGTGACCCCAGAAGACATTACGCTGAGTGAAATATCTCAGTGACAAAAGGACAAATACTGCATAGTGCCACTGTTATAGAATGAGACTGACGTGAGGGTTGGAGTGAGACTGAGAATAATTGGATAAATTATTTATACTGCATTGAAACAGATGAGGGAGAGAACAGTTTAAAAGTGCTAGATCATTGGGTATCATGATCATGACAAGAGTCCAGAGTGAAGGTTGCATAGTGGAGTGTTCTGGCAGGGAGGGGGAGATTGTATACCAATGAAAGAATTTTTCTTTTACTTGTCAAAGAGAAGAGTGAACTGGTGGGGAGGGGGAGGCAGGGAGAAAAATGCAACAATGAATGAATGGAAATCCAAAATCTCTGTAAATGTTCATTAAAATTAATACAATTAATTTCTTTTAAAAAGTAATCTTTACCAAGACCTAGAAGACAGTGATGAATCAGGAGTCAGAAGATCAAGAAGAACTTCATAAATGAAGCAGAGCTTGATGATAAGACTTAGATAAGTATTGTGGAATTTAAAGACACAATATGTCTATTTAAATACACTTTCAAATCATCAAAACACCAATTAAGGTAGAAAGCCCAGGTTTTTAAAACCCTACTCTGTGCATCAGGAGCTAACTTAGCATGGTATGTTGTTATCAAGACGCTGAGCATCTCCAGTTCAAATCCACTAAATGCTCTTCAAGAGAAATAGAGGCAGCCTCCTGCAGTAAGATTGACAGCCTCAGAAATGCAATAGTCAGTCACCATAGGTTGGAACTGACCCCTTAGCAAAGGGTTGGGCCTAACATTATGCCATTCACCAAAGCATATCATCATTTGGGGTTATTTCCTCAGGATTATTGTCCATATCTCAATTCCTAATTTCAATGTGGAAGGAAGAAACTAAAAGGGAAGAAATATCATATACAGACTATGTTAATACTTTAAAAAATATTTTTAAGGCTCCTGGCCAGTGCCTACAGTGGCATGTCATACCCTTCCTTATTAAGTACCTTGATAAATTTAAATATTTTCATCATTTGTCAGATCTTTTTCCATGTAATGTCTCTATTTTAGCTTGCCATTTCAAAAGAACGTGGAAACTAGGAAAGAAATAATTTTTCATTCACTGCAAAATTATTGACTATGCTTGATAAATTGGATGTTACTGAGTACTCAATAACTCTAATTATGCAGCCAATTTATTGTTTCCTGAAGAAAGCTATTTCACCAATAGATATTCCTTGAGTTGAGTTCACAATTTCCTAACATCACTGTGTAATAAAAGAAAAATCCTGGGTGCTGAAAGGCTTTACTAATTGGATTTAAATAGTAGGGTCAAGTGAGCAATGAGTTTGAGGTTTGATCCATTTGACATTCAGCCTTCATTTCACTCATGATGATCCTTCAAATGGATTGAAGGGTGTGCCAAGTTCATTCTATCATCTCAAGTGGTTCCAAGAACACAGTAAACCCACAGCCGAGAAACCAAATCAGAAACAACTGCCTTCCATAAAGGAGACAGTTGGCAGTTACCCCATATAAAGCCTCATTCCCACAGGGTAGATCACAGTTTAATCTATGAGAATTTAAAGAAAATTCTTTCTAGTTCAACAGTCCAGGTTTTAGAACTCTGTGAGTCTTGTATTTTGACAAAGGAATAGTCAAAGAATGTTTAAAAATCACTTGCTTGAATTTCAAATTTTCTAAAGTAGAATAGACTTCAAGAAGGAAATCCACTTCCAATTTTCCTACTTATGTGAAATTAGTTCGGAAATGTAGAAACATGCAGTAAGCATAAATTGAGAGGAAGCATAGCCTTTGTGGGTTAAACTAAGGGATACCAGGAAGGTTATAATCATATCTCTTAGTAACCTAATACAGCCTAAAATACCAGCATTGTTCAAATATTTAATTGGGAGGACAAGAGTTCTCTTTGAAGGTACAAGTATTAATCTAGCTATCATTTATATCATGCTATAAAGTTTATATGTTGTTGTTGTTAAATGCCATTGAGTCGTAGGTGACTCATAGTCACCATATGAACAAAAGTCCTCAACACTTGTGTGATTTTCATCCTTTCTCTAGGTTCATAGAGTTTCCTGAGGCAAGCTATTACAGAAGTGGATGCCACTGCTGCTTCCAAGCTTGTTTAATCGGGGAGCTCCACCAAACACTGTCCACCATGGGTAACCATTAAGGCATTTGACACACCACTGTCACAGTGTTCAGCTTCACAGCAAACACAAGTTACCTCTCTACGGCAAGTGGATACACCACAGCTATACGACTTTCCTGCTGACTGCAATGAGGTTTATATAGATCAGCTAAAAAGAACACTGAGACAGAATTAGGAGCCAACATTCGTATTAGGTGTGAGACAGAAAGAAGTTCCCTGTTTGCCTATGAATATCTAGTTTTTCCAAGCACCAAGTCTTGGAAAGTCTATCTTCCCTCCATTGAACTTTTGCTTTTGTACTTTTGTGAAAAAATCAGTTAGGAAAATGTGTGTGAGTCTATTTCGGGTTTTTCTGTTCTGTTATAGTGGTCAGTGGATCTATCCTCCATCAATACCACAACCTTAAACATTGGCATTAAAATCTTTAAACTGAGAAGCTTGATTCACCCCACTTTATTGTCTTTTACAACTATTTCAGCTATAAAGATTTAGATTTTTTTAAAAAATCTTGTTGGGATTGTGATAAGAACTATGTTAAATCTGCCCAATAATTTTAGAGAAAAGTGGCATCTTTACTATCTTGACATTTAGTTGATGAACATGATATGTCTCTCTGTGTATTTTTATTTCTTTCATGAGAATTATGTCATATTCAGCATACAAGCTCTATATATGTTTTATTAGTTTGAACTTAAGTATTTCATATTTGGTAGCTGTAAATTATGCTCTATTATTCATTGGACATTCACAAACCATTGCTATCACATGCAATAGAATCAAATGTTTATGTTTATCTCGTAGTCTGTGAGCATGATGGTCTTATTTGGTCCTGTTGTTGTGTGCCATCGAGTCAGAACTGACCCACAGCTGATCGTGCAGAGGGCTTTCAGAGGCAATTAATTGCATGAGAGGAGATTGCTCATCCTTCTCCTTAGAGCATCTGGTGGATTCAAACCATGTGCCTTCAGGATTGCAGTTTTTCGCCACTAGGCAGCCAGAGATTGTAAGAGGTTGGGGTTTGGGTTTGTGGGGGGGGATTTAAGATGTTTTGAAATTTTCTATGTGGACAATCATGTTAATCAGTAAATAAAGCAGTTTTATTTCTTCTTCTCTGATCTATATGCCTTTTCTTTCTTTTCCCTCTTACCCACTCCCGCACTTACTTTACTGACTAAAACTTCCAACATTATGTGAGTACAGTGATTAGAGGTGAACATCTTTGCTTTGTTCTTAAGTTTAGGAGGAAAATATTCCGTCTTTCACATTAAGTATGATGTTAATGACAATGATAGTTTTTTTTCCTTAGATTTTCTTTATCAAGTTGAGAAAGTTCTCCACTATTACTAGTTTTTCTGTCTTTATTATTATGGGGTGTTACATTTTATCAAGTGGATTTGATATTTTGAGTCTTCTTTTGTATTGTTGTTATCTGCTGCTAAATCAGACATAATTCAGAGCAACCTTACAGACAGCAGAGCAAACTTATCCAGTCTCGTACTACCTTCATAATTACTGCTCTATTTGAGTTGATTATTTTTACTATTTTTGAATAGTATTTTCTATATCATAAAAAAGAGAAAATTCTTGCTCAATTTTTCAATTATACTCAGTCTTTGTGAATCCTGATCTCTGAGGGTTTTCCTCAATTTTACTGACTCTTGACTTTATCAAACATTGCCCTTTCCCAGCAATTCGTCTTTCCTGATGGTGTGACAAAATAAGCAGGTTGAAGTTTCACCGTCCTCACTTCTAAGGTTGTTGTGTTTCTTCTAAAAAGTACTTGCTATTCTTCTCAAAGGAAAATTTTTATATTCTCTCTTAACATCAGAGTTCTAAGTATGGTAGATTATACTGATGAATCTTTTAATATTTAATAAATTTTATATCCTGCAATAACCTCATTTGATCGTGGTGCACAATTCATTTTGTTGCTGCTGTTGTTGTTAGATGCCATAGAGTCAAGTACAACTCCTAGCAACCCTATGAACAACAGATCTGAACCTTGTTCCATCTTCACAGAATACATCCCTGATGTACTGTGCCATCTTCCTCATCTTTGACAAACTTGAGCCCATTGTTATAGCCACTGAGTCAATCCATCTTCTTGAAATTCTTCCCACTTTTCACTGACACTCCAACCCTCCAAGCATGATGAACATTTCCAAGGAATAGCCTCTCCTAGAAACATGTCCAAAGTATTTGCGAGGAAGTTTCGTCATCCATGCCTGTAAGGAGTTCTCTGGTTGTACATTTTCCAAGACATAGGTTTGTTCTTTTGGCAGTCCATGGGATATTCAGCACACTTCTCCAACAACCCAGCTGGAAAGCATCAATTCTTCTTCAGTCATCCTTATTCACTGTTCACCTCTCAGATGCATAGCAAGTAATTGAAAAGACCATGACCTGCATCAGACACACCTTAGTCTTCAAACTGATATCATTGCTCTTCAGCAATTTGGAAGCATTCCTGACAGTGGATTTATCCCCTGATCTTCTGACTACTGGGATAAAGGATGTTGATTGTGAATCCAAGTAAAAGGAAATCACTGACAATATAAATCTTTTCCCTATCTATTAAGATGTTGCCTGTTGGTTCAATGGTGAGGATTTCTGTCTCCTTCATGTTGAGATGCAATCCATATTGAAGTCTTTAATATTCTGCAGCAAGGAAAATTCTACTTGTTAAGGATTCCATTGAGAATTTTTGCATTTATATTAATATGGCTTGTTGGTTTATAATTTTGTTTTTATATTTGTGTTCTGTCTCATGTTGGTATTAGGGTTTTACTAACATAACCTATACATGGACCACCAGGAGGTAGTCTTAAGAACAGATAAAGGAAACACTGCATGGTTCAAAATCAGAAAGAGAGTGCATCAGGGATGTATTCTGTCTCCGTACCTTTTCAATCTATATGCAGAACAAATCATTAGGGAAGCTGTGCTTTATGAGGAGGAAGGTGACATCAGGATTGGAGGAAGACTCATAACAACCCATTTTATGCAGGTGACACACCTTGCTTGCTGAAACTAAAGAGGACCTGAAATGCTTACTGCAGAAGACCAAAGACTGAAGGCTTCAGCATGGATTGAAGCTCAACATCAAGAAGACAAAGATTCTCACTACTGGGCCAACTAGAAGTACCATGATAGGTGGAGAAGAAATTGAGTTCACTAACAATTACAGCTTGCTTTGCTCCACAATTATCATTCTTGTCACCAGCAGTCAGGAAATCAAAAGACTAATTGCATTGGAAAAATCTGCTGTCAGGAACCACTCCAGAGTACTGAAATGCAATGATGTCAGTCCTGATCCAGGCCATGGTCTTCTCAATTACTTGTTATGCATCAGAGAGCTGGACAATGACTAAAGATGACAGAAGACAAACTGTTGCCTTTGAGTTGTGGTACTGGAGAAGAGTCTTGAACATACCATGGACTGCCAAGAAAACAAGTAAGTCTCTCTTGAATAGGGTGAAAGTAAGTTTCTTTTTGGAGGCTAGAATTTTGAAGCTCCATCTCACATACTTTGGGCACATGGTCAGGTGGGACTGATCCTTGGAGAAGGACATCATGCTTGGAAGGGTAGAAGGACAGCACCGTAGAGAAAGGCCCTGGATCAGATGGACTGATACAGTAACTGGAGCAATGGGGTTAAGTGTATTGGAATCAGTGAGACTGGCTCAGGACAGGGTAGGGTTCAGAGCTGCTGTACATAGGGTTGCTTTGGGTCACAGGCTACTTGATGGCACATAACAACAACAACAATCATAAAATTACTAGAAGGTGCTCCCTCTCCTACTTTGTGAAAGATATTGGGCAGAAATGGTGCTCCTCTTCTTTGAAAAGTTTGATAGACATCTACAGTGGTACCATCTGTGTTTAGACATTTGTTTTGATGGACTTTTGAATTATAAATTCAATTTCCTTAATAGGGCTATTCAAATTATTTCTTTTCTGTTGGGAGAGTTGTTACAGTTAGTGGTTTTTTTTTTTTGAGGAAGTAGTCCATTTCATCTAAGTTGCAAAATTTACTTGTGTAGACTTGTCCTAAGCCTTTATTATTCTTTGATGTCTACAGGGTCTGTTGTGATATCTCATGTTTCACTGGTAATTTGTGTCTTGTCTTTTATTCTTTTTCAGTATTCTTGGAGGCTTGTACAACAGAATTAAGTAAGAAAACTCATTTAAATTCTATCATGTCCATGGAGTACAAGAACTCAATAAATGTTTTCTTTATGTTAGACAAATTGGGCCTTTCAAAACAGTACTTATATATGGTATATAACAAAATTAAAAATCAACACGGATGGGGAAATGGCATCACACTCCATTTTACTTTTCTCTTTCTTTGTGTTCATTTGACCCAGTTCCAAAAAGTTGTATTTAAATGTATCATCAGTGTTTCTTCCGTAAGGAAATCTTAATCTCTAGCTATCTTCTTTCTTCTTTAGAAATTATTTGACATTTTTAAAATCTTTCTAGGGAATTTCCATCAAAAGTCCATGTAGAAAACAATCCATGTACACATGTTTAACTGACTGTGAAAGAAAATTAATCCAAGAGAAAAGACTGACGTTTTTAAAGGATCAGCAAAGTCAATAACAAATTTGCTTTATCATAAACACTTTAATTTTTTTCCCAAGATAATAAAATTGTTAAATCCCATTTTATAGACTTTCCTTTTAAATTAATTAAAAGCTACCCTGGTAAATTACCCTTCTTTTTATATCTTACCCATCAAGCTCAGCAGTTTCAATATAACAGAGGCCGTGTGGCTCACTACTTGATAGGAGAAGCAAATCAGCCTGTAGCAAGAAGAAGAAAAAAAAATTGTGACCAAAAAAAAATATTTGTGAAGGGAATATTGGTATAACCCTTCCACTACAAAGAAACATGGAGAGTCTTGGTGGTGGTGGTGGTAGTAGACGCTGTTGAGTCAAGAATGGCTCATAGCAACACTGTGAATAATGGATCTGAACCCTGTCCTATCCTGTGCCATCTTCATCATCCCTGACATACTTTAGTCCATTGCTTAAGTCACTGCATCCATCCATTGAGGGTCTTCCACTCTTTCACTGACTCTTTATCTTTCTAAGAATGACGTCCCTTTCTAAGGAATGCCCCCCTTCTATAGATCTGAATTTGAGAGCTGGACAATCAATGACAGAAGAATAGAGATGTCCTTGAGTTACGCTGTTGGAGAAGAGCATTGACTAGCCCTCAGACTGCCTAAAGAACAAAGAGATGTCTTGGAAAAAAGTACAACCAGAGGGCTCCTTGGAGGCAAGGACGGCAAAGCTTCATCTCATATTCATTGGGCAGTTGTTAGGAGGAGCTATTCCTAAGAAAGTGGCAGAGGTAGGAGAGGAATGAGAGGGCTAAAATCTCACCCCACTCCTGTGCTGTGTACCTTTCTGGTTCTGTTGTTTAGCTTAATTCTTGTCTTTTTCAGTATGGAATTAGAATTTTATTTAAATAAATACTAATGAAAATTTAAAAATCAAAACCAAACCCATAGGTGTCAGGTCAAATTCATAGAGTCCCTATAAGTCAGAGTAGGGCAATAAATCTTTTCTCTAGAGTTCCAAGTCTGTAAACCTTTATAGGAGCGCAAACTGACACATCTTTTGCCTGCAGGCAGCCAGTGGGTTTGAACCTTTGGCCTTTTGGTTGCAGCTGAGCACTTTTAACCACTACACTGCCAGAGCATTCTAAAATTGCAAAGTGGCTAAATAATCAACCAATGATAATTTATCAAAGTATTAAAAGCCAAGACCTAACCCCACACAGAGATAATAAGACAATAAATTGAGACAGGTTTTCAGAGGTCAATTTGATCAGACATATAAAAACCCTTGGGGAAATTCATGAATTCCACTTCTCGGAATCTAACCTAAGTATCTATGAGCATTTGTTTTGGTTAATTAATAATATACAAAGACACTCACTGTAGCATTACCTAAACTAACAATCCATTATATCACATAAGTCATGTGTCAGCAGATTTTGGAGGCTGTGCATGGATTGGGAGGAGACGGTCCATCTTTTCCTTCTGAGGTGGATTTGAACTGCCAGAGAATCATAGCCTTTGGGTAATCTGGGCAACTCTATCTAGCATAACTATTATCTATCACACTATAACCAAGATGGGAGAAATCACATAAGCTTATCATCACTCAACTTAGAAAAGAAAAATGCAGAATCCTATTTTATCACTTTGACGACTACTTTTCAAATATAAACCTGTTCTCAATAACTAAAAAACTCCTAAAACTCAAACTCATTGCCATCAAGACATCATCAATCCTCCAGCCGGTTTTCAGGAGCCTATAAACAGTAGCTGGGGAAATTGTCCACCTTCTACTATATTAGAACCACCAGAGGGGTAAAGATCAAAATATTCTTATGCGCTAACTTTAATTCTCGAGTATGATCAATTAAGAACAAGGAGCATACAAGGGGAAGGAGGGAGAAGTGAAGTTGTGAAAGGAAGTTGGCAAATAAGGGGAATAAGGCATTTTTAAAAGGAGAATAATTAAAAGTAAAAACTTAAAACTGAGCAAGAGGCAAAAAAAGAAAACTATGATGTGAGTATGTACAGAAGAAGAATAGAAGATAAAATGAGTTAAACACAGGAGCAAGCATAAATAGAAAACAGTAAAAGCAGAAAAACAGAGCTTGAGTGGTTTGTCGTTTTCAGAGATAAATAGTTCTGTTTTGTAGTCCATTTGAGATCTGGAAATCAAGTACCATGTGTCAGTCTTAGAATAATGGTAATTTTCTATATTGGAAAATAGCTTATGCATCTTAAAACGTTATTTTAAAACAAGGGGGGGGTATTTCACTCTGAAGGGTCTGCGTATCTGAAAAGACTAAATGAAACTTTTACCAATATGTTTTGACATATAAGCCTTATCATTTTCAAGCTATGTCCAGATGTACAATTGGCATTCCAAATCTGTGAAATGCCCCTATCATTGTTTCTCAAAAATACCAGAAAGCCTTGTTCTGAGGGTCACAGAGATTGCGTTTAGAATCAAATCACTAACTTCATTCTCTCAAGCTTTTACATTTCCAACTCAAATTTAGGCAGGAGGAGGGCTTGTGGATGGGTGGGGTATGTGTAGTTTTGTCCAAATTGAGATATAACAGAGCCAGGGGGGAAAAAAGGGCAAAACAAAACCCAACAATTGGCATTCTCCTAAAGGAATAATTGACTTTATGTAGCCAAGGCTCTTCAACAGCTCTGAATGAAAGTCACATAATCTTATTGAGGGAAAAATTACTTTCTGATCTGTCACAGTAAGAAGAGAAAACTCAGTATAAATGAACTTGTCAAAAGCATGCTTCACTCTTGAGCCAAAAATTAAACATCCCTATTTAAAGAGTTTGGGGAATGGAGGGAGGGTAGTCTTTCAGAAAGTCACCATGGTCTTATTTCCCCCATGTAAATTTCAATGGGGAAAGAAAAGCTTAAACACTTGATGCTCTTTGAATGTGTGCCTCTCCTCCTTTAGCATCACAAGAGCATTTTAAACAAAATCCAGAGTTCTTTCACTCTAGACTGAGCCAACGTAACTGTTTACCGTTGAGCACAGCCCTGTAAGTTGTGTTATTGGTAAACAAGAAAGGCACTGACAAGTGGCTCAGAACATGTGACTGAGGCATTACCGCCACCTGGTGGCTAGATTCTCCCGTGAGCAGTGACTTCACTTCTAGATGCTGAAACTGACGGCTGTAAACTTTGTAAGTCTCTAACAGTTCCTGCTGTTTCAATAACCTGAGACTTATACCTCCATCTACCTTCCCTGCCTCCATCAACTTCTTTACTTGCTATCTTTTTCTCAGCTGCCTTCTAAATGTGTCTTCTGATACCTCACTCCTGGTCTCTGCCCTACCCTGTCCTTAATTCATGTCTTCTTTGCCCCACACTGTTGAGTGTTGATGTTTTCTCTTTGTTTTTGCTAAACTGAAGGGAATTTGTGAAGGAGCAGAACTGGCAAAGGCATAGATCCCATTCATGGTTGGCCTACACATCATTGTGTATGAAAAGCACTTCTATTTTGCCAAGATTGTTGTGTTCACTCCAATTTATAGCCACCCTGTAGGACAGAGATACCTCATTGGACATGCTAGGCTGTAAGCTTTCCCAGAGGAGATTGCCAATTGCTGTCTCCTGTGGAGCCCTGAGGTGGTTCCTCTTTGACCTTCAGGTTAGCAGCCAAGCCCTTAACCATTGTGCTACCATCAGTGAAAATGTTGACAAGGAAATGGCAAGACAGCTGCAGTAACTGCCCTACTAGTCTCTTGTCATCTTTTTTATCAGCGGTGCTGAGTGGGAAATGTAGCCCATCATCCATGTGACACTAAGTCTCAGATTAGGGCCCTCAAGATTTGTCTATCCAGTCTCTCTCAGGGGACCTGATTCCTAGCTGATCTAGAAACTTGTATTCAAGTTTTAAGTGTATGTTGTGGATTGAACTGTGACGCCCCCAAAGCATACACATATGCAATACTAGAGCTATGTAATGATCCTCGGCGATCTAATAAACTAAATAGTTGACAAGATTAAGGGGTGGCATGCAATACCCCTTAATCCCATCATGACCCTGATCTAGGATGTGGACTATAGCACCTTTTATCTCAGCCAAGAATGTCCAGGAGTGGAGTGCACCCTCAGGTCCTTTCACTCGGCAGTTCCTCAACATGAAGGAAGTCTAGGATATAGAGGAATCTCAGGAACACCTGACCTGGAGATGCTGAAGGAAACAAGGACCTTCCTCCAGGGCCGACATGGAAGGGCTTCCCTAGAGCTGACCCCCTGAATTTGTACTTCTAGACTGACCACTGCTCCAGCAGAGCTCCTTACACCAACAGCCAACAGTTAGTGAGGGCTTCATACATGTCAAGCAATATCCCAAGAGTTTACATATGCAATATTTTATTTAACCCTCACAGAAATCCTGTAGTATAGGTCCTGTTCTTATCCTCATTAAACAACAGAGGAAAGTGAGGCCCAGGGGCCATTCATTAGCTCTGCTTCAGGCCACAGTTAGTAACTAGGAGTGCAAGGACTCAGATTCAGGCAGACAAATTCACCTCTGAGATATATACTTGAGGAGATGTTAAAATCAGTAAAAACATCTTTTCTGCCAAGATTTTATGGTTTCATAGGGGCAGGATATGACCACATCCTAGGAAACTTAAAAGTTATAGGGATACAAACATAGGAAAGAATGGCCTACACAGCATTGGAAGTTGAGGAATTAGTAGTCCACTGTACATTCTAACTATCAGGAGAGGAAGGCAGGTCCCCTCAGGAAGAAGTGCTACTACAAGAAAAGAAATAAGGGAAATTTTAATTCTCAGAATTCACACATGGCCTAGAAGCTGGTTAACTTCAGCCAGAGTCACTGTCTGAAGACTCCGATTTGTACTCCCTTCTGTTCATTGTTGTGTCCTCCATGTCTTGGTAGAAGAGGCTAGACTATACCAAGAAAGAACCAGTGTTATCCTACCCAGTACGCCCTTCCACCTTCCACAGGCAGCCAAAAGTTGAAGCAGTTGTCTCAAAGAAACCTGAGATTTCAGTCAGAAGAAACACGGAAAGAATCGAACAAATATCTCTTGAGTCCGCTGACCCAAAGATTTTGGTCCTTATAGGTTTACAGGGCATTTGTTAACACTTGTTGCCCCAAAAATAGATTAAGGCAAAGGGACATCAACACCTTCAGACTGTACAACTCTCCCAAAATCAAAACCAAGGCTGTGGAAATGATTGTGACTCAGCAACCCTCTATAGGGT